AAATAAAAATTGTTCAATTACAGTGCAAACACGTTTTTTCTTTTTTTTTTTTTAATCTCGCCCTCAGCCCATCCTTTTATTTATTTTTTTTTAAAAGAAGTGATTTTGCAGTGCAAATCAATGTTGGCAGGTCAGGCTGCCCGCTACTAATCTTGGCATTACAAGTCGCCAATCAGAAGCGCTCAGGTAATGGAGTTGTTATTGAACTTCATAGTCTGGATTAGATTCTCGCTTGGAGATCAATGCCGCGGCGAGATGAGACTGATAAAGGCTTGATAGCAATCTGAATCCCCACAAGCCTCTGAGTGAAGCATGCTTAGGCTCCAAAAGCGTAGGAGGACGAGGAGAAGGGGGGGGTCGGGGTAGCAGGAATCTGGACACGTCATTTTCACCCACTTCCAAAGAAATGGAAACATAACAGCTCACATCGAAACTCTTGTTTTCCCACATGGATGATGTCAATGTGCAATTTGGACAACATCCCTGCAGACTCAACTGCCGTCACCAGTATTAGTTACTGTTCGTATTTTGTATACAGTATTTGTATGTTATCAATGAATATTTTTGAAATAGATCAGATATGGAAAATTTTATTTCCCAATTTTTCATGTTGAGCATATAAAGCAGAAAAAAAAAGCGTAATTGTAAATGGTGGTTATTATCGTCAGCATCATAATCATAATGTAATAATGAAAATCCTTCTCAATCAGCAAAGAAAGAAAGTACATCATTCAGTACCACATACAACCAATTGATAATGCAGTTTTAGTATTGATTTGAGTATTTCTTTGAAAATTATTATTTGTGTTATTATTTGTATTTGTATTTTTTTATTTATTTGTATTATTATTATTGTTTGGTGTTGTCAAAATATTCATTGTTTGTGTTAATGTTATTTTTCCTGCGATTGGCTGGCAACCAGTTCAGGGTGTCCCCCGCCTACTGCCCGAAGATGGCTGGGATAGGCTCCAGCACACCCCGCAACCCTTGTGAGAATACAGCGGATCGGAAAATGAATGGATGGATGTTATTTTTGTTTTATGTCTGCTTTTTTTTTTGTTTGTGAAATAAAATTATGACACTGTTGAGCGTATTAGTGGAATTTGACGATTGTTCGATCCCTCGCCGGATAAATTGGGGCCATTTACCTCCATTCATTTGGTACACCTTCACATTATCTTGGATTTCAATTGTTTATTTATTTTACACATAAGGATCAAACCATTAGGAACACCTCGTCATTGTACACCACAATAATACAAATGGCTCTCTAAGAGTGTCACTCAAAACCACAAAGGACAAATTATTGATGCTCATATGGAGTATCCGTATATAAATCACAATAAGGAGCTCCTCTATTTTCCTATATTTTCTTCGAGCAGGAACAACACTGGTGGATGACTCCAAACAAGTTGGCGATAAAAGGCGGGAGAGTTAATGAATGTGCTTTTATCTTAATGGGGGAGACATTTAATCCACACGTTTCTCTCTAATAGGATTATTGAAAGGAGCATCTTTGATTGTTCTTCTCCTCGTTATTATCTCTTAGCATATTGGCCAATGCTGTGTCTGCCTCGACTTTTTTGTTTTTTTAAACTACAGTATATGCAGTAGCTGATGGTTGTTTCCACTCGAGTGGTTGCTAACTATTTATTCCAGCGGCTCAACCTCACCATTTAGCATTAACCCAGCCGGGCCAACAAAACGGCGCTCGCTCGATGGCGGATCAATGCGGCCGGCGAATCAATCACGTCACATTTTCTCTCTCCTAATATTTAATTAAACATGGTGGCAAACAACTGCACAATTTATTGTTTGATGCTAAGAGCATTAGTGATTATTTTTTTTCTCCTCTTCCGCCTTCCCGAATGCTTTGGTACTCCAGAGAGTCTTAAAGAGACCAAGGGAATAGCATGCAGACACTTTTCCAATACATAATCATGTGTGTATATATATACATGAATATATACTCCCCTGCCTGGTATTCCTAATCCACTGCTGCTCGGGTAGGGGGGGCTCATTTCATTAGGCGAAGGCACGGCTGACAGGCTATGAGGCCTTTTTAATATATGCTCTAATGGCTATCCAATATCAGGAAAACGCTGCTGATGAGCGATGTGCTCAGACTATAACTCTGCTAATGCGAAGCAAAGAGAGTTACCACTCAAGCATTGGCTGTAAAGTGTGCATATGCAAGGGAGCGACAACCTTATAAGTCCTCTTTATGATAATTTTGAGGTGATGTTTTTCTCCATGTGCCGTGTAAACAGACAGAAGAGAGAGGTGTGACCCATTAAAGTCTGAGACTGGCTGTGGTGGGGTTTTTTTTTTTTTTTTTTTTTGGTGAGACTTTTGGAAAATTTGATCACATTTTACTTCTGTAACGAATGTGTCGTCACCAGTGAGACGTGTGAATCGCTTCATCTAGCACGCTACAATTTGAAGGAGAGTGTATGTTTTATTTCTAAATGAAATGAATCCAATAAAGCGGCCCGGTGGTCTACTGGTTAGCACGTCGACCTCACAGTGCAGAGGTCGTGCGTTTGATCCCAGCTCTGGCCTTCCTGTGTAGGGTTTGGATGTTCTCCCTGTGCCTGCGTGGGTTTTCTCCGGGTACTCCGCTTTCCTCCCACATTGCAAAAGCATCCATGCCAGACTGATTGAACACTCTAAATTGTCCCTCGGTGTGAGTGTGAAAGCGGATGGTTGTTCATCTTTGTTGCAATTGGTTAGCAACCGGTTCAGGGTGTGCCCCGCCTTCTGCCCGAAGATGGCTGGAATAGGCTCCAGCATGCCCACGCCCCCTGTGAGGATAAAGCGGATCAAAAAATGGATGGATGGATTGATGAATCCAATGAAGTATTTTAATCAAAATACTGTCTCCATTGACCACCTTCAAAACATGTCATGTGTCTTAAATACAACTCGCCCATGCACTTTTGTTTTGAAGACAAGCGAAGGTGAGCGAAGAGCAGTGGAGACTCATTTGATACCGCAGTCTAAAACTCTTAACATAATGAGAAAAACATGAACAAAAAAAGACATCGGACCCTATTTTCGCAGACTGGCCCCAGTGCGCTTGGGAATAAAAATGTTCGTGCCAGGGCAAGTCTGGTATACCATGATGTCATCGGACAGCAGCGATATGTATTGATTTGCGTATAATCTAGCATCACCAGAAGGACGCTGGAATCATCTCAGCACTTGGAGAGAAAATGTCAAATGAGTGTTTCTCAACGAGTTAAAAAAAAAAAAAAACAGATACCGAGAGATAAGCAGATATCCACACGGCGAAATGGGTTCTCGCTGAGGCCCCTCGGAGGCTTGATAAGAGTGGGCGTGGGGTGATGATGAGGCCCACTCATGGATGCATTGTTCTCCTACAGGAGGCGGATCTCCTGTGCGTTTGGCGGTAATGAAGCAGGGATTGAGAAGCAGAGAGAGGGTAATCATTATTGGCTGTGACAGCAGTGACCTGACAGCTGGGTCCAGTCGTGCTCCAGTGCTTGTTGTACAACACACACACACACACACACACACACACACACACACACACACACACGTCTGCAAGCACATGTTTTTGCACAAATGTGTCTGCTGGCGCACATATACACCCCAAACGAGACAAAAAGGCTCGTTTATTGTGGATTGTTTGCCTACATTGGAAGATCTTGTGTCAACTGCAGCCTAAAATTGGAAAGTATTTGACTGATTGAACAACATAGTGACTACATAGCTGCCGCAGCAGTCACTTTAGGCAGTTGGCACTAGAACTACAATTTTTGAATGAAGTTTTACCTCCTGTATTGCTCAGATGTGAACACGGGTGGACTATTTGGAGTTTGGGATTTCAAGATGATGATGAATTTGTCTCTTTCAATGTGACAGGAAGATTGCTGTAGAGATTTTATTTTTTATTTTATTTTTTTAAGGTATTTGCTGTGTAGAATAATTTTGAGGCTTCTTCCAACAAACACGTTGGATTTATCCTTTGAGGCTTTGAAAAATAATTTTCTACGTGATCTCATAAAAATGTATTCGGGACTCAAAGGAAAAATCTTTTTTAAAAAAAGTACATTTTTTCTAGCTTAAATTGTCGGTACATGTTAAGTTTATGTGACTCAAAACAATCTTTCTTTCAACTATACGTCGGCATAACAAGCAGACACCTGGGTATGAGGCCCTCTATGGGAACAATACTAATGTTAAAAGAGCGTAAAAGTTAATTTTTAAAAATGCGCACGGTAAGAATGTAATAAATAGAATACGCTGTCATGAATAAAGTTGTCTCGTTAAGAAACAATTCCCAACTCAACAAAAAAATGTGATGTTAGGATAAGTTAACCAGTGTTTCAACTTAAATGACAAAAATGTTCAAGTCTTACACACATACAAGTGCATCTTGTCACATAATCTCATTTTTGAGCATTCTGTACTGTCGCCCAAATGTGGAAAAAGCTAACCGCTATGTATCATAACGTCAAAACAGGTTTCCTTTTGTTTTGGTGGTGCATTAACTTTTTCCTGGTAATTTAACCAAATGTCTTTTCCGACTCGTATTTACACTCATTTTCACGTGAAAACTCCTGGTTAGTTGATTTTAACCATCCATTGGAGCTGACTTAATGACTTTGGCTGTAAATTGGTAAGAAGTGAGCGGAACCCTCACTGAAAAAAAAAATCAAAGTATTTGTTTCATGCTTGTCATTACAAAATACAATCCACCGCGTGCTTGGGTATTCGTGCTTGCCACTGCCATCATAATGCTTGTGCTATGGCATGTCAATCATTACCAAAGCTTCCCCTCTTGGCGAGAAGTGTTTGTTCATAAAAGTCGCCTCTGACCTCAGCCCCGAGGCATGCTGGGCCATTCAGTGGAGCTGAGTCGAAAACGCCAGTAAGCCCCACAACATGACCACGACATCAGGAAACTTTCAGTGCCAGGTTCTTTACTTTCAAATTTCTCCAGAAATGACCTCACCATTAAGAAGCGAAGCAAAATGATTCATATGGAATTTATTGACCAAGGATCGTGAGATAATTTTTACACATGTAATATATGACAGCCTTTCACAAATTCATTAGGCACGCACCCCTTTCTATAATCTAACAGTTGTCGCGCCCACTCTGCCTCCGCCTTGTATCCCCTCAAAAAAGGATAAAATTGCATTTTTTTCAATAGTTGGTGCACCCCTTTTCTCTCTTAAAAAAAGTGCAGAAAAGCTTTTATAACAGCCTCTTATTTCAAACTTTCTAAGCCATGCAACTGACAGAGTTGACGCATCCCCTTTTCGGTGGGGGGCCTTGCTGTCATATATTTACATGCAATTTTAAGGTTCAAACTCTCTCTCACTTGGGCGTACTACACAACTGGTTTTTAATGTGGACCTTTTACTAGAGACTTTTTGAACCTCTTCAACATCTTGACAGAGAGAGTGCACCACCTCACCGCCACGCCCACCCTCATAACAAGTACGAAACGCTTTTCTCACATCCCCATGGGTGTTTGGGAATTGTTGTTGTACAACATCAAGTCTTCCAACCAGACTAGACAGCGTTAGTCGTAAAACTTGTCATCAAATTTCCTTTTCCAGACGACATTATATCTCCTATAACATTTAATGTTTGATGATATCTCTGACCACGATAGTACAGGCCATCCATGGCTATTGTCCTTTGTGAATTCATCTCGTACCCCCTGCAAGGTCCATGGCAGAAGATAAGGAGGCTGTGCTTGTACAGCTGCCTCCTCTTCACGAGACTCCAACCAGCAGCAGCAACAGCTGGAAAGACGGTGGAGGCTTTGTCCGCTGGCCCGCTAAGCCAATGTCGCTGGGAAAGCAACCGGTGTCTGGACTCTGAGCCGTTGGACTGCTGTCGGCTCATTCGAACATAAAACTGACATACATCATAGACAGATGGGCTCCATGAAGGAATGGGATCGGTTGTTGCATTTGCACTTTTCATGGATAACCACAGAATCTCCTCTCATCTTCTTAAGACTTGACTTTGCACTTCTTGCCAAATAAGTTCTGAGAATGCAATGGGATGAATAACTCACGAAGAAACATGCTCAGCAGAAAAGTCATCTTGGTCATTGTGGTGTGATCCATGATAAGAGCATTCCTCAAATAGACGTCCAAATGCCTCCTTCCTCCAAATCTGGAAAGAAACGTAGCAAGTGTAATGCCATATTTCTGTCTATTTGACATCGTCGTTTCCACATGTATATTCAATTTCTGATAGGTGAGCCTATTTGAACACTCTGTTGATAACCAAACCAGCAGCAACTGAACAGTTTCTTAAACCAGCCTCGTTGCGAATGAATTCCTTGCGCCGTACTACTGGTCAGACTGCATAATGTGGAGACAACGACAAGGGGCAACAAGCTAGCTTATTCATTACACGTTAGCCTACCAACTACTAGCATGTAAACATTTGACCAACTCTCATTTGAAACAGTACCTGAATACACGAAAAGATGGAAAAACTGTATTCAGTTCGCCTCTGCACTTTTTGCACTCATGTTGCGATCGCACGATATCTTAGCATACCAACAGCTAGCATGTTAGCATTTCATCTCTCATTTGAAATAGCATTTGCCTAAGGGAAAAGACGTCAATCCCTTATCGCTCAACCTTCACGGTTTATGTACCTCACTAGACTGTTCGGAATGTTCACATATTCCTCCACCGAAATGGCCTGCACATTTAATAAAGGTCTTGCCAATAGCAATAGCTGTCATTGTTTTTGGCAACCTGAAAGCAGATGTACTAATTACACTCATCGGAATGAAAGGCTTGTCTCCCCCCCGCCTCCTCCTCCTTCCCGCTGTCACCTCTCAGCTTGGCAGTATCGAGGCGGCATGCATTTTAATTTGCCCCCATCCCACCCTCCGAAGTTACTTATTTCATTATCGATCATCCGTAATGCCGAATCAATGTTCATCTTGTTATGTGCACCCTCGCTGTGTAATACAGTGATAGCGGGGGCCGCAGACTTACTCGCTGCTTTTACAAAGTGACTTTACCGTCAAATCGATGCATGGTGCTGCCAATACAGGAAAAGTGACGCGGGACAATGCCGGCTGAGAGGAAACAAACAAAACAATAACACCATGACTTGTGCTACTTGAAGCGAGTGTCACTTCAAGGTGATGATTTATGGGTCTGTGATTTAAAATGAGCCACGGGCCGCAGTTTTTGCATAGTATACAAGTCTTGCAAATCATTTTTTTATCGATGCGATGTTATAGAGTATAATGTTGAGAGAAAGGAGAAATATTGTTAATTTTGTTCACAGTTTAAAACAGTTCCCAGGTGTCCTTGTCTATGACATGTGTGTGTCAAAATAACCCGCACCAAACCCCGCCGAGTCACAAATTCACTTTTGTTTTTTTGGGGGGGAGATGAACTGCTGATATTTGCTGAGAAATTTGCATGTAGGCATTTTTTGCACTCTTTCTCCAATGCTCTCAGATGCCATAATGTGACACCAAAGCCCTGTCTCAAGAGAAACTGGTATCAAGGATGCATGTAAAGTCTAGACTGCGAGAATATCTTTGTATGTTGGGGTGGAGCTATAGCCTGGCTCATTAACTCTTTAAGCGCCATTGAAAGGTCGTCAACGTGAATCCTAGCAAGGTGAGCCAATGATGGTACTGTAGTTGTTGTCAAAGGGAATGGTCCGAGAAAAGTCTTTTTAAGATAGGAAAGTCAAAAAAACAAAAGTTAAGTTTAGTCTAACATGTTTTTCTGATTAGTATAAACAATTGTTAAACATGAATTAGGAGCAAAACCCACCCGTTTTTGTCCACCTCAGGGGGCGGCCAGTATAGCACTTGCTGTCGACCGAAAATGACATCACAGAATGCTAACCAGAATGGCGTGTTGAGAGTTGCTGGGCCTCATATAACATCTCATCAAGAAAAGTGTTGACTGGACTTCCACTTCAAAGGTTTGCCTCTCGCCAACAAGTGTATCATGCCCAAAAGTCGGCTAGATTTCACCTGCAAATCTGCAATAAGTGCTTCAACTGTAAATAAAACATACAAATATTTCACTCTCATGTGAACTCGTCTTTAAATTTGTCTGGATGTCGAAACTGGAATATGGAGTCTTTGCTCTGCTACAAAATGCAAATCAAAGTTAGCAGTTTTAATTCGCATGATTGGCGAGTGGAATGTTAATTAGAAAGCAAAAAAAAAAAAAAAGACTCCCGTCTTCATAAATCCTGAAAGTAAAGACAAAATAACTTTAAATACGTTTTCAAAGTACACTTGCTTCCGTCGCCCAGAACAATTAATTTATGACTAATTCATTTACTGGATTAAGCCCCAATGCGCTTTGAACGCAGCAAGATTCATTGGGGCTTTATTTGGGCCTAATGGGACACCCGTTTGAAATCCTTTATGGGGACTTTTCAGATTACACAATGAGAGAATTTTCTTCTATTTCTATTTCTGACAAAATGTGTCATTGCATACGAATTGGCCTACATTTATCATTTTGGTGTGTTAGGCCAACAAAATGCAAGTCCATGTCCTGAAATGAAGAACGTATCGACTGATGGTGAGCTTTGATTGCACTTGTGTCGAACCGGTACAATTTCTGTCCGTTCAGATGAAGCTCATCAAGATCTCACACTGGTCGCACCATATTTCAACGTCAAATTTACAACTTTATTCTTGTCGAATGATGATTTTTTTGTCTTGAAAATGTCAGCGGCCATTCTGGTCATATATTTTTTTTTTTTACTTTTTCTCCCCAAATTCCGACTTTATTTTTGCAGTATTTTGACTTTATTTTTGTAAAAGTACACCTTTTTCCCGAGAAAGTTCAATTCTATTTTCGCAAACAACTTTTTGGAAAAGGACTACTTTTTGTGTAAAATTTGGACTTTTTCTTGCAAACAATTTTGTTTTTGAAATAATTTTCATGAAAGTTTGACTTGATTCTTGAATTCCAATGTGGTTTTTTTTTTGCATGAAATTACAATTATTTCAGGTTATTACAATTTAATCATGCAAAATGTAATTGTTTGTTGTGAAAGTTTGACCATTTTGGTAAAATGTTGACTTTTCGTGTAAATATGTTATTGTGTGTGTGTGTGTGTGTGTGTGTGTGTGTGTGTGTGTGTGTGTGTGTGTGTTGCATCAGAAGCCACCATGCACGTTTTTCTTGACTGCATGTGGAAATTGTGTCATGTGCATAATTACCATCTTAGATGTCACAGCGCTCCAGCATGAGTGTCCTCTTTTCTTTTAACTGTGCGCGTGCGTGCGTGCGTGTGCATGTTTGCGTGCATGTTTGCGTGCGTGCGTGCGTGCGTGCGTGCGTGCGTGCGTGCGTGCGTGCGTGCGTGTGTGTGTGTGTGTGTGTGCCTTTTGGGGGCGGACTGTGTTGCTTGTGTCGATTTATAGCCAGTTTCCCGAATGGGTGTGAAAGTGTTAAGTTAGTGAGTGGTGCGCTTGATTGGAGATAGTAAATCACTGCGTGCGTAGGTGCGTGTGATGCGTGTGTGCGTGCGCGTGGCGCATGTGTGAGGAATTGGGGTGAGGAGTGCGGGGGCGCTTTGGGGTTGGGGTCGTGGTACCATGGTTCCAGAGGAGGGGGGAGGGAGACGGTGCGCATCCGGCCTTGGAGCGCTGTTTAGCGGACAGCCCTCTCGTCAGACACCTCGCTGAACTCCTCGCTGTGAAGGTCCCCGCCCTCTCTCTCTCTCTCTCTCTCTCTCTCTCTCTCTCTCTGTCTCTCTCTCTCTCTCTCTCTCTCTCTCTTTCCCTCCCCCCCGCTTTGTGCCATCGACTTCTATATGGTGATTACCATTCTGGTCCAGCGGCACCAGCAAGCCGCTGTAATTAATAACCCCGTAATCCGGGTTGCATGGTATACACACACACACACGCACGCACGCACGCATGCACACACACACACACACACACACACACACACACACACACACACACACACACACACACACACGGCGCGTGTATAGAGGAGGGGGGCGCCATTTTGAAGTGGGAGGCGACTTTTTTTTTAATCTAATAATATTAAGTGTAGTGATAAATATTCTTGAAAGAAACGCGATTTATAATCCAGCACAAATAAATCCCCGCCGCGATTGGAACTTTTCGTGTCAATAAGACGATTTCCCCAGCAAACAAGGCGCTCAAAAATTAAAATTCCGCGAAGCAATATAGAAAAGTGTGTTAGGAGAAGGAGGGAGGTGGGGTGGGGGGATAGGAAGGGAAGCATCTGTTTTCTTTTAGACAGATTTCTCCAATCACCCCCTTTTTATTTGAATACTGCTCAAAGTCTTAATGCAATATTGTTATTATTAATACAACATCTCAGTTATTTTTTTGTGGAATATGGTTTTAAGCTTCTTTTGGGAAGCAACAGATCATTGTCTAGGAGGGATGATAGCAGCTATAATCCCCCCACCACCCCACCCCATGTAAAAATGTCCCGAATCTCCTGAAACTCTCCGTACATTTAGCGCTCGCGCGTGTGTGCGCGCGTTCCAATCCACATTTTCCACTAACAGTGTTCATGATCATCACTGGGCTGCTCTTTCATGTCTTAAGTGTCGATCCGCTGTATTTTCGACCCCTTCCAACTGCAGGAATGATTTAAAGACCCACTCCAACACCACCTGCAAAAAAAAAAAAAAAAAAGGAAAGGCCACTTCGTCGGGGGAGGAATCTTTGATTTTAAAATGGGGGTGGGAGGCAGAATGGCAACCTGTTCCCAAAGACATGAATTAAATATTGTTATTAATGCGCGGCATTTGAGTCTGAAACACACTTAATGTGGAGAGGTAGTTTTTGATTTAAGGGCCATTTAGAAAGGACAGCAAAGATTTTTTTTTAATTGGGGGCAATTGTATTTTTGGTATTATTGTGTTAATAATTGTTTTTGCTTTGCTTTGTTTCTTTATTTTAAATAAAAGTTAATCGGGAAATACAGTATTTAGCAAATATGTAGAAGAACGTTACTCAGTTTCTTTCATTGTTTTTAAGTGTTATTTTTTAGTTTATGTTTATAACGATAAGTGGATGTTTGCCGCGCTTTATAAGTGTCGACTCATGGTGACTTGCATCAGAAAACGCAACAATGTGAATTATTTTATTCCCATGAGATGACTGTGTTTAGTTAAAACCAGCGTCGACAGGGACTCGGGTTAACACATGGGTGCTTTTTTTCAAGTTTCAAGATTTGATTTGGAATATCATCTTTTAAATGTATTTATAGTACATTCATTCATTTAGTGTTACATGCATTATTTTTATTATTTTATTAAAGGATCTCGCGAGGGAAAGTTAATACTATACCTCACACATAGCATGTGGGGGGCTTGTTGGATTGTCAAAACATGTACAATATCTTTCAATTATTTTTTTTTTGTTCTCATACAAGTTTCATTAGAATATGTTTTCGCACCATTTATAAGGACATATATTATCAGCATTTTTATTTACTGTGATTACCAGAAGAAAAAAAAAGTAGTAGCGCAGTGGTGGTGCAGATAAATGACATTGAAGAGTGTATTCAAATTGGACAGTGCATTTATTTTATCCATGTAGAAGGAGGGAAGTGCGGAGAGAGCGAGCGAGCGAGAGAGAGAGGGCGAGCGAGAGGAGAGAGAGAGAGGGGTGCGATTTGAGAAATGGGCGTGGTTTGTAAAGGACTAGAAATGTCAATCTGAGCAAGGGAGTCCCAATAATCTAAAGCAATCTGTAAGGACCTGACCTTAGTCCATCCAGATCAATAGAAGAAGGAGAAGAAGAGAGCGAGCGCACCATTCGCACTGGAAATACTCTTGGTTTCCCTCTGCTCTCGCACCTTCCCTCGGCCCTCATGCTTTCCACACTCTAACAAGACCAACAACAAAAAGTGGATATTCCTACTTGTCGCTCGCTCCTGCCTCCGTCGCCGGCAGCTATGTCCTTCCCCCAGCTGGGCTACCAATACATCCGGCCCGTGTACCCTGCGGAGCGCCAGGGCATGGCCGGCAACCCCCGGAGCGCCGCCGCCGCGGCTGCCGCGGCAGCCGCAGCCGATCTCAGTCCTTCGGGCGCGCTCTCCAACGTGCTCTCGTCCATGTACGGAGCGCCGTTCGCCGCCGCGGCCGCGCAGGGTTACGGAGCCTTCTTGCCCTACTCCAACGACATCTCTATTTTCAACCAGCTGGTGAGTCGCCACTTCGAGAAAAAAAAACCCTGTCTTTCTCTGCTACTTTGCTGCCACTTAGGAGGCCACCCAACTTTTGCGGAGAACTCGTTCTCGGTGGTTTAAAAATTAATACCACAACGCAGTAACCCTTTACAGAAAAAAACGTCGTTAAATGATGCACCAAAACAACGCAAACGGCTGGAATCAGGCGTCTTAAAGTGAAGTAAATGTCTAAGTCCATAAATGGGGTGAAGAAAATAACAAATAATAATAAGCATACAAAATGTGCAAGTGAGATCAGGGGACGATTGACGATCAGACTGTTCAAAATAATCACATATTTTTAAACGGTGATAAACATGTCACATCATTGAAGCAAATAATGCATTTCAATGGACTGCATCGTAAAAGTAAAACAAGTCTAAGAATTGCGTAAAACGTGTCAAAATAAAACAAACAATGCATAAAAAATGACTTTATTGGGGGTTTAAAAATATAAAAAAAACAAATAAACATATACAAGAAAGTTTATGCTTACATGTGCTATAAGAGACTGCCCTGGAGTCTGAAAGTCAAAATTATATAGCGTGCGCATGTTTAAAAGTCGTAATAAACCTGTATTGGAATGTGACGATAAAAAAGTACATGTTGTTTGCAAGTCGTTGTATGCATAAAAAAATAAAATAACTGATTCATAACGAGTGAGTGGGGTTTCTAAGTAAAAAAAAAAAAAACGAGACAAAAGTTGATGAAATGTTAAACGAAGTTCAAAGCAATTGTATTGGAGTTGGAAAGCAAAAAAGAAGCGCACGGAAGTTTAAGAGTCGTGTAAACATGTCGAATAAAGTAGGAGGGGAGCGTATCGGAGTGTAACTGTGTTGTGAATGCACGCAGGGGGCCCAGTACGAACTGAAGGACAGCCCCGGGGTTCAGCACGCCGGTTTCGCCCACCACCATCCGGCATTCTACCCGTACGGCCAGTACCAGTTCGGCGACCCTTCCCGGCCCAAGAACGCCACTCGGGAGAGCACCAGTACCCTCAAGGCTTGGCTCAGCGAGCACCGCAAGAACCCGTACCCCACCAAGGGCGAGAAGATCATGCTGGCCATTATCACTAAGATGACTCTGACCCAGGTCTCCACTTGGTTCGCTAACGCCCGCCGGAGGCTCAAGAAAGAGAACAAGATGACGTGGGCGCCTCGGAACCGAACCGACGAAGAGGGCAACGTCTACCCCAGCGACCACGAGGGCGAGGAAGGCGACAAGCGGGAGGACGAGGAGGAGATCGACCTGGAGAACATCGACACGGAGAATATCGAGAGCAAGGACGACCTGGACGAGCAGGACGACTTGCATTCGGAACTCAAAATTGACGCGAGGAGCGACTCGGAAGGTTCGGACGGCTATGAGGATTTACCCGAGCAGAGGTTTCTCAAGGGGGGTCTGCACCACCACCACCACCATCACCACCATCTCCAGATCCACCACCGCGGCTCGTCTCCGCTGGAGATCAAACCTGACGCGGACAAACTGAACTCGGGTCCGGTCAGTTCCCCGCCCACGGAGAACAGCCAAGCGCCGGCCCAGAAACCAAAGATCTGGTCTCTGGCGGAGACGGCAGCCGCCCCGGACAACCCGCGAAAATCGCCGCAAGTGACTCCCGCGCCCCCGGCCTCACACCAGCAACACGGTCTCATGGCCCCGCACAGACTTATTGCGTCTTGTCCCGCCGTGGGGAAGATCCAGTCGTGGACGAACCGAGCCTTCTCGGCGCATCAGCTGGCCCTGTTCAACTCCAACCACTACCTGGGCCTGGCCAACCAGGCCGGAGGCGGCCTGGCATTGTACGGAGGCGGCCGGCTTACGGACGACAAGGGCGCTGCGGCCGGGCCCGGTGCGGACTCTGCGCTCACAGGTACCGGTCCGCGACACTGAGAATCACCGCGTGTGTTTGTGCCTGTGTGTGTGTGGACGCGCAAAAGACTCCAAAGGCCACTTTCACTCGTTTTTTTTTTTTCGTTCTCTCCTTGACTGTCCCGTTTTTTGCCTGGTGATGGATCCTTTTCTCTGTGGGCCACACACAAAGTGTATGTGTGTGTGTGTGTGTGCGTGTGTGCGTGCACACACGCACACACGCACACAGATCAGAAAGCATTTAAAAATAATAAAATTAATAACGTCCCTCTTTTTTTCTTGTTCTTGCACCATGCTACAATTGTTTTGCATTATTATTAATGTTTACAATGTTAGCCAGCAACAGTCCAATGCATTGTTCTATTAATAAGCAGTCATTACAATTTAGTTTTTGGTGGCCACTCAAGAGGGAAACTTTAGTGCCTTTTGGCTCAACAGCAACTTTATTTTTTGAGAAATAATGTTGACATCGTCTTTTACAAACTTGATTTGTCTCTTTCTTTTTCAAAACGCAACTGTCACTTTTGCAATGTTTTCTTTTTTTTTTAACTCCCAGGCCTCTTTTGTTTCTTTTTTTTCTTTTTTGCTATCTGAATATGGATTGTAAAATAGATAATAATACCATCTGTGTATAGCTACATCGTAAGCATGTCCTGTGTAAAAAATGCTAATGTAATAATGTATGAATCTTGTGTGTAGTCTGTGAGTGTTTTTTTTTTCTTTGCCCCCCCTCTTCTTTTTTTACCTGTAAGGATTTGATGTTATTTTTTTTGTATATAAAGTTAAGAATATGTACATACTTGTGAACCAAAATTGTACAAGAAAAGTCTATATTTTTGGCTAATAATAAACGAATTGCTGCAACTTTAAAGAGGACAGTTTGTCTTGAAAGTCAATCTTCCATTAACAAAAGGCGTCTATTTACATTTACAGTTGAGGGACTTAAAGCTAGTTAGGCAATATTGTGCAAAACAAATAGATATTAATATTATGAGACAATCGTCGTGTTAAAACTGAAAAAAAAAAGGAAATGCTTCTCCAAATGCACTGCATGCTTGATTTTCTTTTCAATGTGATTTTTTTTTTTTATCTTCACAATGCAACTCCCGGATCTCATCATGCTCCATTTGTACTGCACACCCATCTCATACACACTCTCAATTAACGTCGCCCCTGTAATTGTAATTTATCGGAGGTGTAAAACTAATAATAACGTCATTTATTTGTGTTTGCGCCCCTCGGGAGCGTGCATGAGGGCGTTTAAAGTTGGTGTTGGAGCTCCCTCTACAGTCTGCTGTACACACACAACCCCAGTTGCAACAACGGCACACACTCACACGCCCTCTGGATCCTTACACATGCCCTGAACACCATTTGATATTTCTTTGTAAATCTGCGACAGACTGTTGCGGTTCCAAATGTGACGGGAGGTGGGGGGCGGGGGGGGGGTAATTTTGAGTCTAATCATGCGGTTTTATGTTACGCAGCCAATCTTGGAAATCAAGTACTTCAAAAGAACTCACAAAAAAAAATCGGCAAAAGCATCCCCCTGAATGATCAAAAATTAAAAATTTTCCTTAATATTGATCTTGGAATTCAGAGTTTGTATTTAAAGGCAAACGCGTGTGTGTGTGTGTGTGTGTGTGTGTGTGTGTGTGTGTGTGTGTGTGTGTGTGTGTGTGTGTGAGAGAGAGAGGGGGATGTCGTAGATTAACGTTAAAACCACCTTCAAATGAAGGTGGTCGTAATATCTAAAATAAAAACCAGTGGTGAATTTCTTTGCACACATTTCCCTTAAAATGATGTGAATAAAATAAAGAAAAGAAAGAACTGGTCTGATTCTGTAGTCAAATACAACATCAGTATGGATGAACGAAAGTTGAAAATAAAGTTAAATAATATTTTTAAAAAAAAACAATCAAACAGCGGTGAAATGCTGCATTCACAGGACATCGAATTTCACAAACATATCCAAGCAGCCGTACACAACCGCGCTTCGGACTTTTACATTCTCATGCAAAGTTTTGGTGTCAAAAAATATATTAGTAACAACTAAATAAACCTGACGAAACAGAAAACGATTCCATATTCGACCACCGCCCCGTTTAGTGTTTCAATGCGCATTTAATTTCCCGAGTTGTTTGTGTTTAAAAACGGAGTGGTGACAAGTGTGCTTAAACGTCTTCAACATTGGCTCGAAACACGCATGCGTCGGTCCAATCAATTATCCATCTTGAGAAGCTCATCTCAGAGCACCATCATGAATATTCACAATTGGCATCAGCTGATTGACCGCCCCCCCCCCCTTTTCCATTCTTTGCTCGCGAAGCAACGGCCACTTTGACGCCACATTAAACAGAATGATTTTTTTTTTTGAGGAGGGGTCATTTATTGTGGGTACATGTGGACAGGAAATTATTTTTTGATCTGAGGGTAATCCTGACAGCTATATTGCAAAAATTGCAAACACATTATACTTTCACAGCATATTTGTTCCAGCATGGTCAAACAAGACCATAAGGGACACATTCTGATTGATGCATAAAATTAGGGATTTATTAATACGGATATTAAAAAAATATATACTTGTGTGTGTTTCATCATATGTGACCAACCATTTTTAAAGCTATTCTGAATTTCTGAACATATAAAGAAAGTATATTATTTGACATTATGACAGTGTGTGCTTCTTCTTTTATATAATTGAGGTTTTACTTTTTTTTTCATCTCTGGGTCATAACAGCTCTCATCGAGATGATGTTGCATCACTGATGTGATTGAAAATTACACTAATTGGCTGTAAAGTTTGTATCCCCAAAAAGACAAAAACAAAACAGATGTTTTGCTTTAGTTTAGGAGACTGGAAAAAAAAAAGAGTTGGCGTCATTAAAAGGAAATGTAATCTGTCTTTCCCAAAAAGTGCTCATTGATCCAGCCTCGGACAGAATGAAAAGGGGATCCGATGGAGCCATCAGAGGGCCCCCCGCGTGTGAATGAGCTCGGAGTAAATAAACACTGGGGCCATCCATTGGAAAAGGAGATGGGGGGTTGGCATCAGGGTCCCCCCCCCCCCACCTTGGAAGAAGCTCCACATAAAGAGGATCAGCCTTATGCTTTCACCTCATGCACCCTTTCTGTCAAGTCCCCTCCTTCCCTTCTCAGAGACACACAAACATCACCTCCTTTTGTGGCCCCAGTCAGGCTGAGAAGCCCACCACTGTCTTTGTGCGGCAAACTAATCCTTTTATGAGCCACTGTCCGACAGGGGCCCCCTCGACCGCTGGAGCGTACACCTCTGAAGGCCAAAAGAACCAGTTGAGAACAGCCCTTAAGTTGAGAACGTGAGAGAAAGCGTCCAAGTTAAAGAACAGCCCAGGAGTTGTTGTTGTTGACAAAAGGCCCAGAGGAGTGAGTGACGTTCTCCAGAGGGAGGCTTGCCAATTTCATGCCTTTTGTTCTGGCAGGTTAGCGGGAGAAATTCTTTCGGGCAACAAGTGGGGGTCTAAAAAAAAAAAAAGGGGGGGGGAGGGCAAGGGGATGAGTCCATAGGCCGGAGGCAAAGACGGAGGAGGCATGTGTGACTGTGGGTGTGGGTGTGTGTGGGAAGAAGGGGGGGTGGCGTTTGAAGGGTAGGTGAACTCTTTTGCCGTTCAGCCAGCTGAAAGATTGCGCTTTTCTCAGCCCCCCCCCCCCCCACTCCAGACAGGCCCAAGTTACAGGGCAATTATGGAAATGCGGCTTTGAAGCCAAGCACGGCCTCTTTTTCACTTGCTCCTCGGGACAAAGCATCTGCAAAAAGGGGATTTATGCACGCTCGCCTCCATAAAACGGCTTTGAGCTTCAGCGCGGCTAACTTTACCCTCGCCACAGTCGTCACGTCCAAGTTAGTCCTAATTCTTCAGTGATGCCACTGTTAGAGTTGTTCTAGAATGACTATCTAGACGTTGGCACTCAGTGGAGCGCAGACATCCACCACAACCAAACTGGGAGTGTGTTCATTCGTGTTGGCCAAATTGTGCATTTAACCCCGTGTTCCGATCAAAGTCGGCAAAGACCTGGTTGTCGAATGCCTCTGAAACATGAACCTGAGCATTTATTCTGTAATCTGGGACGTAGTGCTGGGTTGTGTCTCCAATTTGGGGCATAAATAGTTGGGTGTCCACACCAAGTAGAGGCTGGGCGGTCCTTACCAAGCCTGGTTGCATGAACCGATGAAACCTGCCCAGATGACAGGTGTCCTGAGAAATAAATAATCTGACCTGGATGAATGAGAATATCCACAAGGATATGTGAAGAGTGACTTTTTCATCCCCGATGAGATGACACTCAGGGCCAACAATCGTACGCCTGTTTAATATTTATAATGTTTTTTTTTTGTTCCAAGATCTAAGTGGTTTATGACAAAAAAAAAAAAAAAAAAGCAAATTGGGAAACGATGCATTATGCATTTCGGGTCCACTGTAATTGAATGGCTTTGTCCCACTTTTTTTTTTTTTTTTAAGAATCTTTGGTTTGACAAGGTTTTTGTTTAGTAAATTAATTGTGAGTCATCATTAAATCATTGGCTATTATTTTTATTATTATTATTATTATTATTTCATCAATGTGCTTTTTTGAATTGGCCACTGACTGGGTAAAATCACCTCACTTCTAAATTTATTGAGCTGAGTTGGATTGAGCAATTTAAACAGGTTCACTCGTGGCTCTTTTGTAGCTTTCGCTACCACTCAGTCAGTTCCGTTTCTGGCTCAAAATATGAAAAAATCCAAAGAGAGACAAAACACTGAAGTAAGGCCTCAGAATTTTTTTATTTTTATTTTTTGTGCGGCAGACACATTTAATTCTTTCTAGTGCTCAATGTATTCTGTTCATCTTCTTGTATTGTGACTTTCGACTTCGCCATTTTGTACAGAGCGTCCCAAGACCGACACATGAACTGTTGTTTTTTGCTACCACTACATTTCCGGATCGGTGGTTGTCCTCATTTTTTTCACTTTGCCATCACCGGTTAGCAGAGTTTGCAGAGCCAAAGAATAAGCACACTCGTAGAATTAATTCTCATG